ATATACCTACTAACATACAAATCTGTTTTTTTATCTGAAAAAATAAAAAAGTTATAGGGCTGAGCCACTTTTGAGACGACCCTGTATATTAAAAAATAATGTTTCATAATGTAATATCATTTTGAAATTCTTGTATGTTATTTTAGATTCTGAAGATAATTTTAGAATAAACCGGAATATATTTTTAATAAAAACATTATTAATTATTAACAGGGTTATAATTATGATTTTTTTACAATGTAAGTAAGTAAATAATGTAATGTAAGAGAAAAAATTCAGATTTTACATTTTACTAAAATATTATCTAAATAAGCGCCTTTCTACAACAACGCCACTGACTCCTAATGGGTAAATTGAGAGTTGCCTACCGGTCGAAAGTTGTTTCAAGACTTAAATGGATTATTTAAGTCAAATTTCTTGCAAATTTGGCACTGGCGAACCATATTTTATAGTTCTTGAACAGAAAAAGTCAATAAAACAAGCTAAAACAACGCTAAGAAAATGCGTTAATACAGCCGGGGACATAGCGGCAACAAAGCTTTACCGCACACGTGCGACGCGTACTACAAGGTAATAAATGAATGAATAGGCTCCCTCGCCTCTAATCGGTGTTGTCATATTGTAAAGAACTTATCATTTTTAAACAGTATCCGACTTATAATTTAGTAGTATAAGGACTATTTAATACATCTATGGAATATTAAAACCTACTTTATTAAACTGTAGTATTAATATCTCAATATATGTGTATAACAAGAAAAAAAATATTAATAATATTAAAGACGTGACAACATAGGCTGGATGAGGAAGGTTCGGTCTACTGTACCCAGAAGTAAACATGGGTACAAAAAAGATTGTTTGACCGCGTTGAGATGTAAATAGGGTAGTCTATATTTTATTTTAAGTCTTCTAAACAGAATAAAGTTTTCACATAAATTATTGTTTTAGTATAGGAAAACATGCGGTATTTTTATTAAAGGGTAAATTATTCATTATACTTATGCTCATAGCGGACTAAACTTTGATCATTTTTTAATCTGCCTGGCCTTGATTTGGCATTTTGTAAAATGACTGAAAACAGGCAGTTTTTTTGCAGAAGTGTACGAAAAATATCGTCATTGTTTAATATGTCTAATTCTAATTAGGCTTTTTGCAAAATGACTGAAAAAAGATGGGCTTTTTCCAAAAATTACTTCTTTTGATAAAAATGTGGTTCTTTGTACTAGGCAATGATAGACTATTGACAAAGAAACTATATGAAGGGTTCAGTCTCCAAGATGCTAGACTTTTAAGAAGAGAAGAAAAGAGAACAGTTGATTTGAAAATGTCGCAGTAGAGCAGGCTAATACCTACCTCAAAAAACCTAATCTAAATTTCATTTTTAGACCTTTCAATAACTTTTTTTTGTTTTGTAAATCGATGGGATATCTCTAGTTTATATTAATAAGACCACAACATGAATAATTGAAATAAAACCAACAATAAATACTTAATCATTAAACATACTAAAACTGTTAAGACGTACTGTTTACAATTAATACAATAAATTATGAAGTCCAAAGTCCTCGAATATAATGTGTCCATCACAAAGTTATCAGTAATTTAAAAATTAGTCGTATTTAATTTTAAATGAAGATGTGATAAAAAGACATATTTTTATATAGCTATATATCTTTTCCCTCATACTTATAAAATATGAATGTAATAACTCTAAAGTAATTTTATTGTGTTGCTAAATAATTTTTAAATATTCCACCTATCTATAAATCTTGATATATTTTTTCTTAATTACAGATATCGACTGTAATTAAGTTTAGTTACAGTCAAAGTCCAATCGAATTAATTATACATCATGCCTATTGATTGAATCAATACGAGATTTTTTTTAAACACAGATACAGGTGAAAATTAAATAAAAATTGAAAATATTGTATCACAAAGTGCAGTTATTTATCCCTGCTAATTTCCTAATATCATGGTCCCATCTCATGGTTCGGTATTCTTCTAGGTCTCTTAATTCCTCGTAGGTACCATACTATAATTTTTGTGGTCCATCTGTGGTCCATCCTTCTTGCCAGGTGTTCAGACCATTGCCACTTGAGGGATTTGATTCTGTGGATGTCATTTATAACCTCGGTCTTTTGTCGTATCCCCTCTATTCTTTTACGAGAAGAATATTGACTTGACCGCGGCGTACGATACAGTTTGGAGACAGGGACTGATCTGTAAGCTAGCTAAAGAAATCCTCTGCCGAAGGATCGTCAACCTAATCGACGATATGCTCCGAAATAGACTTTCAGGTAAAACTGGGAGAGAAAGAAAGCAAAAAGATGAAAATTAATAACGGATTGCCACAAGGTTCTGTCTTAGCTCCATTGCTGTTTAATTTATATATCGCTGATATGCCTGCTACTTCTAATTTCTAACTTCTAAATCTACCTAATTTTGAAGGCGCTCGTTGTTTTCCGGAGTATTTTAATCAGGTATATCAAAAAAGTGACTTCCGTTGACAAAACTGATGTCTGGATTAATGATTCAGAATTATTATAATATGAAATTAGATAGGCACTTATAGTTATATTCGAGGAGTGATTATGAATCCATTTGTAATTAGGTAGTTTGGTTAGGTTTTTATGTATTCTTGGTAGCGAATATGAAACCAAACGTAACGTAAGTGCTTAGCGTCGAATTTTAAAGGTGCGTATTCATTATCCGCACGAACGAACGAACGAATGTTCGCTAGTGGTATGGACGGGGACCGCACGATAGAACCGCACGCATTTCTTCATTCGCGCGCCAATTCAAATCGTCAAGATATTGTTATAAACCTGTTTTTTTTTTGTTTATATACCGTCATTGAATTATCGCTAAGCAAGTTACTATGGAGCAGTGCATAAGGAGTCGGGCTAGGAAGCGAGAGACCGGAGTTCGAATCTCGGCCGGGACATAACGTTTTATTTATTTTTTTAAATACTGTTGTATTCTATAGTTTATTTTTGTAGTATAAAAAAAAGAACTATTTATTCTGTTATTTTTTAATCTCCGGTATTAATATAAATTGATTGTTGGTACAATACCTCATTTAATATAAAATAATAGGTATTCTACTTTTTGTAATGTATCGGGCCCTAATTGTACCTAAAAGTAATATATTTTTAATGATATACCAAATTGTAAACTATTTAATATTTCAGTTACTTAAAAAGTTAATTTGCATTGAATAATTGCCTACCATTAAAGGAAATTTGAGCTATATAATCCTTGATGGGCATATTCTGGGTATGCACATACTTCCTCTAAATTTTGGGTTTTGTTCAACCGATTTATTCTCAAAACCTGAAACATCTACATATAAAAAGAAGCACAGGTAACTTATTATAATAAACTTCACCCTTGGAATTACTTCCACTAATCATAATAAACTTCACCCTTGGAATTACTTCTATCACAATTACAATACATTCATCTGCATTGGCATTTCTACTTTTCGATGGGAAACAATAAACTTCCCAATATTTTTTAAATGATGTAACAATTCCTCTTGTGGTTACTTTTCCATAGATATCCTCAACTCTGTCCTCATGTGAATTCAGAGGCAATAAAAATGAAAATTATTTACCATAAACATCGCAAACTAAAAACCGAATAAACAATTTTATACCGAATATAGAAATAAATTTAGTATTTTTACCTATTATCGTCCAAATCCATGTTAATATATAATTATTATTCTTAAATATATTTTTGGAACTGCTGGTTTTAGTAATTATTAAATTAAACGAACTAAAAAGTCTTAAAAATAAAAAATTCTTAACCATAACCTCAAAAATGCAGATCTCCTGTCAACTTTCTTTATTTTTTATTTATTCCTCATTTTCCTAGTGACGTCACAGGTGGTATGCGCGAACTGAACGAAATTGGAGCCGCTATCGATCATACCGTGTATTCTTTGTACCATGACGTCTAAACGCCTTTGATGTACCGACTCGAAGCGGATGGTCGAGCGCACGAACGAACGAACGGCCGCATGCGTTCGGTCCCCGTCTAAATATACCGCACTTTCATTCGTTCGTTCGTTCGGATAATGAATACGCACCTTAAATCTGAAAGCGCACGCAGGCTAACGCCTTTGATGTACCGACTCGAAGCGGATGGTCGAGCGCACGACCGAACGAACGGCCGCATGCGTTCGGTCCCCGTCTAAATATACCGCACTTTCATTCGTTCGTTCGTTCGGATAATGAATACGCACTGCATGCAATACGCACCTTAAGGTGCGTATTCATTATCCGAACGAACGAACGAACGAGCGAATGAAAGTGCGGTATATTTAGACGGGGACCGAACGCATGCGGCCGTTCGTTCGGTCGTGCGCTCGACCATCCGCTTCGAGTCGGTACATCAAAGGCGTTCGCCAACAAATGCCTCCGGTCTTCTCGTGCGGTTCTATCGTACGGTCCCCGTCCATACCACTAGCGAACATTCGTTCGTTCGTTTGTTCGTTTGTTCGGATAATGAATACGCACTTTTAAGTGACTAAAATCCAACGTAATATGACGTTGGTAATTGGTAGAATTACATTCCCTATTAGGTCAGATACCGACGTCGAGGCGACCCGAATCTGTATTCCCCATTTAGGTGCAAATAAGGGTCGTCAGGCGGTCGAACCGTTGTTGGTACCCGACGTTAGGTTTATTGAACGCGACGTATACCCGACGTTAGATAACGTCCAAATGCTACTTGGGATGTTGCCATATTATCAAGAAATTATGATTTTTAACTATAAACTAAAAAATTTCCAAAAATTTTCAATTTTTTTGCGAAGAAAACCTGATAATCGTGTTTTTGGGTCGAATTATACTACCCCTAAAATATTTGCACTTATTTAAGACTTACCCTGTACAACAGTCTTATACGTGTAAACACGGCCTACGACTTTGTTTGCTCTGATAGAGTATAAATAATAATAAAGTACTATATTAAACATATTATATACTTACAATTACTTGTTTTTGTTTCTGACTAACACTAGACGACAGCTTGAGGTCTGCCGCTATGTGCATGTTCTCGTTAACTGTCAAAAGAGGTTGCAACCTGTCGTCTTGCGTGATATAACACGACAGTTTCCTAAAAGCCTTCAGTTTCCTAGGGTTTCCATTGATGTATACTTTCCCTCCTACCTGTATACATATTTGGTAAATTATCGAATGTAATACCACAAGATGTTTCGGGATTACCGAATAATACTTTTACCTGACACGAAATGCGTTACTCCTCCTTTTAGAGTCGTAGTGTTGCCGGTATCGCATTGAGTGTTAGGCAAAAGTATTAGGTAGTCCCGAAACATCGAGTTGTATTCAAAAGATTATACAACGAAATAAAGTACATATTATATCCTTCTTATCTTAAACATTTTGCCATTTTGTAATAAGAATTGACGGGATATTTTGTGGAACTGACAGAAATGACTTCTGAATTATTCAAAAAATGACAATTACAATATGGCCACCAAGCGATAATCACTTAAATGATTATCACTTATTAATCACATCCTCCTATATAGGAAAAATATACATAGAGTTGTATAATCAAAAAAGTCACTCAAAAAAATGTAGAGTTTAAATCAACCATAATGATTATGGCTAAACTAGAATTGGAGAATTGATCTAAAAACAAAAAGAGAACAAACAACTACTGATCTGAAAACGTCTCAGTGGCAAATAGACCAATATTTACGTATTAAATTCACGTCACAAAAAGGTTGATTTTATCTATATTTTTTCGGGAAATATAAGTTATATTACCCCTTGTATGCTGTATCCACTGAGAACATTAAGCAGGGTACTTTTACCAGCCCCTGATGGCCCCATGATGGCTATTAGCTGTCCGGATGGAAATCTACCGTTAACATCATGCAGAATTAGCTTTTTACCTGAAAAAATATAGATATTACTACCTAGATACAGAAAGTAATAATAATTTATAGAAAAATAAATTTAAAGAGAGTACCTATTAGTCATGGCCGAAACAGCGATTTTTTAAGCTGTTTAAGTTGCAAAAGATACCTGTTCCAGTTTCAAACTGTTCCAAAACGAAAATTAATACCGTACTTGCGTCATTCTGATTCGGTTGCTATTTCTCTTTTTAAATTTATACAAAAGAATATTTCTTGCTTAAATAATGAGAACTACTGTTTTTTTTTCTGTTTTCTCTAAATTTAATTTACTATCTATGTTGCTATATTACCAAGATATAATGTTTTTTTATTAATTATTGTTATTTTCATTAACTATTGCTGTAATAGTTTCTTCTATACTAAGTGTGGATTGCATCGACTTACTATAATCGTAACTGGAGATTTTGACAATCAATAACCAGCCGTGGCGGCTTCACCAGCGAACCCTGAGCTCATGATCTACCAAAGTATAAAGATATGCTTTGCCATAGGTAGGATTTCAGAGGGGCCCCACGTTTTTATTTTAGTCTAATATGCCTAAAATCTATTCTGCCTAGTACTAAAATATTTCTGAACTAGAAGTTCAAAATACCTAATTGTTATTATTATTTTCTAGTTTTCAGTGCACATAAGATAAAACCGTTTAACTTAAAAGTTTTTTTACCGATTTTTTATTATACATATAGAAAGGTACCTATTCAAAATTTTATCTCATATTTACACACCTTCGACGTTTTGTTTAAAGGTATACTCTGTTTTTTTTTCTCAGGTAAGATTTCGACAGACGATGACAGAAGAAAAACAGATGACGTCCCATACCAATCTATTTATTTTACTAAAAAAAGTTTCTAATAATTTTTAAGTTAAATATGGATGGGTTTAAATATAAATCCGTCATACGTCGTGTCTTGTTGTTTTTAACCAGTTTTATTGGTTTATTTAAAAAATGACAGATCGTAATTCAATTTTATTGGTTTGACGGAACGATGAACGACAAACGAACGCCGATGCGTATGAACTCGCCTTTGGATTTTTGTCATTTTTGACGCTTGTCAAAGTCTTGCCAAATTATAGGTTATAATTTTGTGTCAACTTTTGTTAAATACCCTGCATTTTGAAAGATGATGCATTTTGATTCGTATTATTACGTGTGTTTTGTGTCTTTTGAAGTCAAGTGGAGGAAAAATCGAGTGAAAATTAACTGTAGGCCCAGAGCACAGTTTATGGTTAATACACGCTGCCCAGGCAGAAAGTCTTATACACCAATGAAGTTGCCATCGATAAAGTTTGTATACCATTTCGTCGTAGATAAGTGCATTTCGTATATAAGGATCAAACTAAACACATACTAAAAACTGGAGTAGCTGTAAAATATCGACATCACACGATAGGTAAATAATGGATTTTAGTACTGGTGCAGAAAAATAATGTCAAAAGGTACTGGTTTAAAAAAATTAAGATTAAAGGTAATTAATCCACCTTTAAGGTATAAAATTTGGTAGGTGTTATTATTAATAAAATAGTTGTTGTATTTACCTATGTTGTTTTATTTATACCTGTGGAATATTACAAATTTGTATTTGTACATAAGTTATATTGATAAATATAATCATAAATGCGGGTAGTTTCATAAAGCTTGAAAGTAAATAATAGTTATTTTTTATATTTTTTTGGTATGTAGTGCCTTGTTCTTGTTTGTTTTGTATTAACACATACCGTTTTTATTAAATAAAATAACTCGATTACATTTTTTCAGTTTTATACAATTTTGAAGTAATCACTTGTCATCTTGTCAATCAAATTTTAAATATATCCTGCTATGCGTTCCAGTCGTACCAACTTATTTCTTTGTAAAATAAAATAACTACTTTGAAATTAAAATGACAGACACATCTATCACTGTCAAGGATCTTCTCGTTGGACAGACTATAGTAACTGAAGAAGAAGTAAAATAAGGTGGAACTCAAGAACCTGGAAGAGTCCGTCCGTAACCTGGAATGGGACTCCTCCAACGGTCTAAGACACTCGAAAAAATTTCTCAGAACCTACATCCGAGAAAAATCAAAGATTTTCATTGATTTAAGTTAAAACACTCTTCGGATTGGACAGGACACAGTCTCAACAAACACATAAGTAGATTGAAACTAAAGAACATGCAGATTCTGTGGTAATAATGAAGTAACCCCAAAGTTAAGTTATAACTCAAGAACTCGAGAAAAAATAGATCTGTATGGTCGCGGTGATTAACCTAGGGTTGCCAACCGTCCTCTATTCCAGAGGACAGTCCTCTTTTTGATCTCACTGTCCTCTTTTCTCTAGCGTTATTGAAAAAGTCTTCTTTATTACGTACCAAATTCAAAATCTAAAAAATGTTTGTGTATCACCAGAGTGCTTTAAAAAATTGTTAATCTGTGTCTTTCGCCACTCCCACTCGTTTGTACAGGGTGGGTCAAATTCGACGCTTTTAAATAGAAACACCCTTTTCTATAGGGGATAGATGAAAACTAATATCGGTGTCTGGAGCTCAATTTTCATCAAAAACATGATGGTGTAAACCGCACATCAATATCTGTTACCGTTTCGGAATTACGGGGTGTTTTTCAAAAATGTGCATTTTTAACAAATCGCTGTAACTTTTTTGCTATGGAAAATTTTGTATGCATGTTTTTGAAAAACACCCCGTAACTCCGAAACGGTAACAGATATCGATATGCGGTTTTCACCATCATGTTTTTGACAAAAATTGAGCTCCAGACACCGATATTAGTTTTTGTCTATCTCCTATAGAAAAGGGTGTTTCCATTTAAAAGCGTCGAATTTGACCCACCCTGTACAGAAAAGAAGTCGATGAAATATTTATGTAAAAGAGATATTTGTGGAAGCGATAAACACGTGTAACTATTTTATGTTTACTTATCCTTGGCTCATGTTTTGAAAAAGAAGTTTTGTTCAAAATGGTTTGTTTTATTTTAACAAGTTTTGAGTATAAAAAATGTTTCACCTGTGCCTCTTTTTTACCCTCTCGTCCTCTATTTTTTATTTTGAAAGTTGGCAACGCTAGATTAATCCCCTTCTCTTATATTCTACTTTATACATTTTATTACATACACACATTTATCAGCAAAAATTTGCAAACTTTTAAATTCTCATACACGAGTTTTAAACAAATTAATTTAAAATTTATACATCAGCGTTTTCTGAAAGCGATAACACCACAAATTAACAGAATTGTTTAATTAAAATTGTTAGAAAATATATTACTCAATCTCTCATGCTATTACAAAATAGTAAATTCCCCCCAAAAACATTTTTTTGGGCTAGTTATAGAACATGACCTTTCTGAATAGTGATTTTGCGCATGATATTCGATATTTTCATATCTTATAAACTTTATATAAAGATTACAACACTCGTGTAACCCCTGTGGGTCAGAATAAACTATAGTTATTGTAAAACTATTATAAGAATGTTGTTTTCTTCATCACGGTTTATTTTTGTCGAATATTTCCGTTGTATTGATAAAACTTGATCTTCTTGGAGAATGATCGTGCGTTGTAAAACCAATCGAACTATTTAAATTTATTTATACAGTGTTCATGTCTACAGGGTACGAGCATTGGCACAAATTAACTATAACAGATGCGAAAGTACACCGAATTCCGCGTTTCGGTTTCTGTGACCTTCAGAAAGAGTTCATAGACAATCCGCATCAATGTATAGTTTGCGTTATTATTTGTTTGGGTTAAAATAGTCTGCACCAATATGTGATCGAGGCATATAATCTCACAGTAATTTAATAGATTGTATACAATTAAAATTATATATAGATTGTACATATATAATTTTATTATATACCTCTACTGCAAGAAATTTGTTTTCTATTTTTATAATTTGGCTTGCCTGAAAAAAAGCCTTTTACCATCCTTTTACTATCGATAGTTGCGCCTCGGTGGTACGAAAGTACTACCATTGCACGCAGGCCGCTATCTCCCGTTCGGGAATACTTTCCGACAAGTCGGAATTAACTATCTCTGCGCTGTGGTTGTCATTTTGTGGATCTCCCAAGCTCATCTGATGATGGAGTAGGACTCCGAAACCGGTAGTGAGAGCAGGTTGATCCGTATTATGACAAACACAGCGTAGAATTAAATTTCTATATTAGCAGTTAAGTGGCAAGAATCCTATATAATTTTATTATATACCTCTACTGCAAGAAATTTGTTTTCTATTATTATAAATAAATCAACTTTTACAAACTAGTTTCTAATGCTCTACATGTTCGAAAGGGTTACCACCCTCCCTATTGCACAAATTTATTTTTCCTTCAATTTTATTTATAGCTCTTTGAACTTTCTTCTTATACTTCCGAATGCATTTTGTACTCTTTATTGTAAATCTTGAGATGTATTATTGATTTCACTTTTACAAATGACGTCAAATAATGTCCCTTTGCGATCAGTCCAGGAACCTCGCTGGACATTACACTGCTCTACCATTTCCAATTCATCTTTCAGAAAAATGATTTAATTGTTTATATTATATTATCCTTCTTTATATATTCTTTATTATACTAGCGTGTACCAGCGACTTCGTTCGCGTCGAATTAATCATTTGTAATGGTGATGATAAAACAAAGCGAGAATTTCCATTAACATACAAACTGGATAAAATTTTCTCACATTTATGTCAGCATGAGAAAAAACAATATGGCGATATTATTATATAACTTGGTAATATTTGAGGGGTAGATTCATCTCGTTGGAATTTGACTTTCGAAAAATCCGTTTGCCAAAAATAACCTTTTTACGTCAAGCAGTTTAAGCAGAATCGTGGTTAAGAAATGACCCAACTTTTTGGAACACCCTGTATGACTTTTTAAAAAATTTCAAAATATGTAAAAAAACCAAATAAATTATGCTTGTGCAAGCGTTTTCCCGAAAGACTAACCGTTTTTTAAATAACAAATATTGTAATGT